GCTACAACATTAAAATACTGCTTAGGAGTTAAAGGATAAGTAGTAATAATCCAAATTTAGTGATAACGACACTATCATGGTCTTATCTGCTGCATAGTGAGTACTTTTTTTGATAATTTAAGTATATTTTTATGTATTTTTGTAGAGTTTTGTTGCTACTTTTACTTTAAAGAAACATCTGAAAACATTTTCGACAGCTGATTAAAGCCGTAAAAAATGTAACTGTTAAAAATAAACATTTTAATTCTGGCATTAAATTCAGAATATGACATACATTTAAAGTAAAAAAAATTGACCACTCACGTGTTGCGACACATCCCGGACGGCCTGGTATGTCTGCGGGTCTCGCAGCGGCTTGCTGAGCGGTTGGTCGACAGGCAGCGCCGCCGCCTGCTCGCCGCAACCAATCAGGAGCAGCGGCAGGAGAACCAGCATGGCGGCAGCTGGACAGAGGACGGAGACCAGTGTGGCGAGCTTCATTGTTGAGTTTGATAAGTTATCCTTTCAGAACGAAGAGAGTTGTTTTATTTTATCCTGAGAGACAGAAAATAGAAATTATTAAGAAAAATAATTTGTAATAAAATAAAATGTTGAAGTGAAATCTGTCTGCATGTGTCCTCACCTGTCAGTGGATGCTGTTGTGAAGACGAGTCTCTAGCCTCTCTCTTTATACAGATCAACCCTCCGCCCCCTCTGCAGAAATATAGGACAGGTAACCATCCAAAAAACCCCAACATGCGCACACACACACACACAACACACAGGTCACTGCTGTGTGTGTTTACTGTCACTTACATAAAGAGGAAATTAACTGTCATTCAATGTGGGACAATGAACTCCAATATCAATTTGCTTCATAGAGCATTTTAATTGTGATCTGCAGTGACATAATTTCCTCTTTATGTGTGTGTGTGTGTGTGAACTCCCTGGTGAAGTCCACTGTGTTGCATAATAAACTTCCTCAACCAGTAACTCTGCTCAGACTAGATGTGTATTTGCATCATTCTATGCAACACTTTTAATAACAGGGAACTTAAGATGATGACAAGGTACAATAATGAAGTGTGGAAGTTTGTTTGATGTATAAATATAACTAAATAAATATGGATATTGTCACAATCCAGTTGAAAAACCTTCAACTGCAGCACCTCTAATGGCCTCTAAAGGATGCTGCTGCAAGGATAGTCCGATTGTATCGAAGTGAATGGGAAAACTCCCAATGTTCATACACACAAATATGAACAGATACTAATAAATCCTTTTTTGTAATCTATGACGAGCAGTGTGTTCTTGTTAAAGGACCAGTGTGTGAGATTTAGTGGCATCTAGCGGTGAAGTTGCACATTGCAACAAACTGAAGACCACTCGCGTCTGTATTTGACGACCTGAGAGTGAGAGCAAGTTGCAGAGTGTGTGGTTTATGCAGCCATTTTTATTGGCTGCAACAGAAACTGATCTGTTTATTGATTATTAACTGGAAGAAACTGTCAGGCATTGAGTGGTTAATTTGAGACAGAAATAAGCAAATACAAGAGAGTTATGTAACAGCAGGCTTTGTCAGGCTTTACAGCAGTGTATCATCTGCATAGAAGTAGATATCAGCACTGTTTCTGCAGACGATATCCCCAGAGGGAAGCGCATAATTATTAAATAAAAAAGGGGACCGAGGATAGACCCCTGGGGGACTCCACAACAGAGCAGGCCACTGAAGAGGAGCTCCCATCTGACTGGTATCAATTACATCAATGATACTGTAGTAACATCGGCTCCCGTGGGGCCACAACGCAAGCGCAGCGACGCCCAGTCTCTCTTCAGCTTCCTTCAAGCTTCTCAACATCACTATTTTCCTGATAGGATTTTCCTGCCAGTTTTTTTTTTCCTGGTGTGGAGGATCGAGTGGCTGGGTCCTCATTCTATTTAATTTTGTCATTTATTGTGTGCGGTGTGGGCGTGTGAATCCCTTGGAGACTTATGGGATAAAAGGCCTAACATCTAAAATGGCGCTGCGGATATCCTTCAGACCTTTGTTACTGTGAATTAAAGTAGATTTATTTATTTTTGAGGGTTTTTATTCTGAATAAGCTCAATCAGAATTAAAATGCTACACGTGAACGCCTCCTCATACTGAAGTTTCCTGTCTGTGGCAACATATTCTCATCAAACTGCACTTTTTTTTCTTATTGGTTCCATAAACTCATCAAATCAGGGCGTCTGTGTGTGTCACAAGAGACAAGTCAAACACGCTAACGAGGAAGAAGCTCTTTAAACTGGAACACCCAGTTAATAATGAAAGGGAAATAACCAGTGACACAGATGAACGGCAGTGAATGAGAATCAGGTAGAGCTGCTGGAAGTTTTGAGATAATTCCAAAAAAGGATTTTCACAGAGATTATTTCTTTAAAAATATTTAAGTAAATTATAATTTAAGTGTCATATTGATGTATTTGTGTCAGAGATGTTCTGCACACTGCATCCCTTTATGATTACACTGACTAATGCTCTCAGTATTACGCAGTACATTTACCGCTATTTGAAACAGAAACTGATCTGTTTATTCTATATTATCTGGATTCTATTTTATTGTATTTTGGGTATTTTATTCTCTATTTGTTGTGCTGAATTTAGTTTTTCCCGATGAAAACACTTTGATACACTGTGAGAACTAATTCTGACATTTAATCAGACGTTATAACACACGTGACCTTAAATATAAACAACACATTTGATCATTTGACTGATTTTATTCATGAAGAAGAAATAAAATAACTGTT